TGAAGGACTACCTAACACATGGGACCAGGAGTTTCTTTTCTCCATACTCTGTGTGTTTTGGATAGTATGCGAAAATTGCCAGGTGAGCCAACTTTCAGGTATAATTCCCTGTATAAGAGGTCGAAATTGATTTGGTTTTTACACATAATGGATGACAAGAGGAGACAGAAGTTCCAGCCTCTCATGGAATACAAACAAAATTCTATTGTAGTGTTGGCCAAATTGCCTTATATTTTTAAGAATCTTGGGGAATTATGATTATTAAATGGCAATAGGGATAAAATATGGGATCATAACCTGTGTACATGGGAGTCGGAATTCCCAGAGCCCATGAATCGATGAAGAGACAAGATTACTAAAAATAATTGATTTCTTTACTAAATGATTCTCAGGCATACAACTAATAATCAAGCATTCACACTCACGATACAGAACTAGGAATACAGAGTTGACAGGATAGCGATGTTTGCATGAGCAGGAATATCGTTGCTGGGTAGTACGTTACCTGTCCAATGAGATGAGTAGATCATGTAGCGAAAAATGGAATAAAATAAGGGAAGGGGTCATGACTTGACAAGCAACACACGTGGAATGGTTCCAAACTGCTCAGGAATGGAATCAGCAAGGTAGGATGAGATGAGAAGGGGAAGAAGCAAGAGAGAGAGCTCAGGGAGAGCTCACCTTAAATACCTAAATTGTGACCTGAGGCTATGGCCATGTGGTCACCTATTTCCCAGGAAGTTCTAGAAAAAAACTATACTCTAGATGTGGACATAAAGGGATTGACAGGTGGGCAATTGAAAATTGATGGATAGCAGGGAGGGACACCTCTTGGGGAAGGGGGTAAAACAAAGGAGAGGGTGGACGTATCCAATAACAGTGCTGGGTCAGTGCTTCACATTAACGATCCAATGCTTGCCAGAGGCATTAGCTGGATAGGTGGCAGGAAGGCTTAATCACCGCTATTGTCCTTAGCTGGCACAGCCTTTTGTTTTAGGCTGACTCAGGAGAAAGAGGAATGTGTTCCTTTCCAAGTGAGGCTAACACACAAATTGGGGGGGGGGGATGCTGTGTGATGGAATGGAGATTACCTCATGGCTTCTGTTCAGGAACATCTGTCCTTGGTCAGAGCAAGGCTTCTCTTCAGAGCTGCTGCGGTCTCTGTGTGCATGGAATCCAGGGCTGTGGGTCTGTATCACAGTCCTTGCGCTGATGCAGAGGCATAGGGGAAGAAAGCTTCTGCAGTCCAAGGTCCCTTGGCCACAGTGTACTGTCCATAGTCCAACAATGGGCACTTCACATGGGACCACAGTTCTGTCCATTGCCCTGGCATGTGCTCTTCACAGTTCAGCAACATAGTGATATTAAAGAGTCTTTAATAATGCCATCTGAAGTGGCTTCATGGCAACATGTAGTAACATAAACTCAATGAATCAGGGAAGAAAGGGTCAGAGGAATAAGAAAAAAATAACATAAGTTAAAGTGCAGTATGATACATATTAAGAAAGCACCAGTTAAAGTCTCTAAAAAGTGGTTCCTATTGAGCTGTTAGAAATTATCATGAATAAGAAAACTCAAGTCTCTGTTTAGGCCCAGGTGAGAGGTAATGTTTAATTTATTTATGAGTTCTAATTAAGCACTTTTGTGCTGTATATTCCCTTTGAAAGTTTTTGTAGAACATTGACTTTCAGATCTGCAACAATATATGTAGGAAGACTAAAAAGTCCCTCCACTGGTTTCTGAATGTTGTAGTTTCTTATGTCAGCTTTATATTCATTGACTCTGTCATGTAACGACCAACTGATTTGTCCGATGGAGATAGTAGAAGGGCATTGTTAGCACATGATGGCAGATATTAAATTGGATGATGTGCAAATGTATGAAATCCAGGATGGTGTAGCTGATGTTATTAGATCTTGTATATTGCCTGGCCATATATGGAGCGAAAGTTGGCATCTAATTTTTTTTCAGAGTTTGGTTCCTGCGTTTGTGTCTCTAGGGGGTGGTCTATTGCTGTAGGCGAGAAGCTGTATTAAGTTGGGGCATTAAACCACTTCAGCAAATCATCAGTGACTGACAGCTTCTCCTGGATAAGGATATTTCTTTTTCACAGGTCTTGGGAGGCACGACTTTCCTCACTTATAGACAAGTGAGGAAAGTCCTGCCTCCCAAGACCTGTGAAAAAGAAATATCCTTATCCAGGAGAAGCTGTCAGTCACCAATGTTGTGCTGAAGTGGCTTAAATTGTGAGCCAAAGGTGGCAACCAGCAGCATTCTGTTGTTCCTTTCTTTGTAGTAGATGCCTCTGGGTACAAATCTGCCATTATGATCATGCCGTAGTGGGGTGGATTCACACAGTCCCCCACATGTGCAGAATGCTGCAGCCAGGCTGCTGATGGGTCTCCCTAGCCGGGATCACATCCGGCCTGTGCTGAAAGTGCTGCACTGGCTGCCAATGGCATACAGGATTCGCTTCAAAGTGCTGGTTCTTACCTTTAAGGCCCTATATGGCCAGGGTCCGGCCTACCTAAGGGACCGCCTTTCCCCGCATGTTTCCCCAAGGGCACTACGGTTGGGGAGCCAAAACCTCCTGGATATCCCAGGCCCCAGGACCATCAAACATGCTGTGACCAGGGCCAGGGCGTTCTCGGTGGCGGCTCCTACCTGGTGGAATGAGCTCCCAGAAGAGATCCGGGCCCTGCGGGACCTTGTGCAGTTCCGCAGGGCCTGCAAAACGGAGCTCTTCCGCCAGGCTTTCGAGTAGGAGCTGCTGCCACCATCATTCCACCAACGCTTTTTCCATCACCGCAGGGAATGGACTGAGCGAATAGTGATGTTTTCCTTTGATGTACTTGAAAATAAGCAAGAGGTTTTGTTTCCCTGGAGCGCATTTTAAAAACTTTACTAAAAATAAAAAAACAAGATGTCGGAGCTGGGTAAAGACAAGCGGAGGAGAAGGGAGGGACTTCCGTCTGGGCGTTTGTGTCAACGTGAGTGCCGGCTGTTTAATATTTGGACTGTGTATAGCTATGAATCCAACGGGGATTGTGAAGGAAAAGAAAAGCTTGAATTGTGACAGCGAAAAGTGCCTCATGAGCGCTTATAAAAGTCAACAATTGAAGAGGAGAATCCAGCGAAGGGATTGGGAGCGGATAAAAGCGAAATTGAAATTAATACCATTCTCAAAGCTGGAGATCTCCGGGCATGGCATGAAAGGAAGACAGCTTACAGCACAGGAACTGAAAGAGTTAACAGCGACACAGAAGGAGGAGGGGAAGAAGCCGGAGGCAAGAGAAAAACAGAGGAAGCCCTAACAGTTAATAGATCACTCAGCTTTTTCTTCGTCCCACTATATACCTTCCCTATTTTTCTTTTTAAGCGAAACTCCTCCCCTTTTTAGGGGAGTTAATAAAATCTTTATACAAAAAAAAAAGAATAAATAAATAAATAAATGTAAAGTAGAATGAGGTGGAGAGTACAGTGACAGAGCATATGTCTTGCATGCAGAAAGTCCTGGGTTCAATCCCCAGCATCTCCAGTTAACAGGATCAGGTAGCAGATGATATGAAATACTTTCATCTGTAATGCTAGACAGTCACTGCCTGTCAGAGTAGATAGTATTGACTGGATAGACCAATGTGCTGACTCAGTAAAAGTCAGCTTCATGTGTAAAACCAGCCCTAAGTGATCTTTATTTTCCGTGCTGAGATGTCTCATGGCACTTTTCCTTCCCTGGCATAGGAGAGCACCTGAGAAACAGCTGATTTTCAAAGCTGAGAACTTGCTTGCATCTGTTTATTGCATGCAATTCTCTAAAGTGCTGTGAGGTTTGTAAATGCCATACATCAACAGTGAGTAATAACAAGAACACATTGTTTTAAGTTGGAAAAGACTTTTATGCTGCCAGTATACTTGGCATTTGGAGAAGGTATTCGTTAGAACACTCCTGCATAATAGGGTTGATATTCTGGGAAATAGTCCAGGACAAATGAGATTTCTTTTGTGGGAGACAGTCCAATTTAAAATTAATTACTTTTCTGGTGTATTTTTTTAAAAAATAAAGAAATACTTTGAGCTTTATTTGAGAAAGTTTTACAGGGTTGCGCTCATTGCAGCCCACCCAGGAGCAAGAAGACAATCTGAAGAGCCGTGCACAATATAATATGAAGTGCAGACAGCAAGCTTCTGGTGGATGACCCATTGAGTGCTTGATCCAGAGTCAAATTTGCCCCATGTAAAGAAGCTGTAGCTGCTGCACAGGGGGCTGTAGTTGCTGCAGAGTTGGTGGAAAATCTGGGATAGCCCCATTGTCCCTGGTCCCTCAATTTCCTGGAGGTGGCAAAGCCTGAAGACCACAGCAGGGCCCTAGTGCTGCATGCTGTTGCATATATAACATCCATCCTGGGAAGCTGGGGACTATGAAAGCCTTTTCTCTATGGGCCCCATCTTCTTCAGACACATGAGGCATGTGCAACCCTCTCCTGCTTCACTAGTCAATATGAATGGGCAGTGGGGGGGGGGCCAGCACAGAGGCCCTTGCAGGCCACAGTATTGTCTTTGCCTGGGTGGCAGTGGTGTCCTGCTTGGGCTTGGAGGCTTCTAAGGGGCTTATTCTGGATCTGTTTCCAAAACGGATCTGAGATGAACTGATTCCTAAAATCTAGTGCTCAAAGCTCCCCATCCCGTATAGATTCAGTGCCTGTAAAATATGCTGGCACATGTTCAGTATTCATACATGTTGCAGCCACAGATAGTTGCATAATTAGTTTTCTCATCATTAGAATTTGGAAATGGAAATCTGGTCCTCTGATTTGTCAAGAGCAATGACAGCATACTCTTTATTACCTCAGAGGATTGTCAACTAAATAAAAAGTTTAAATAGAAAGAACATTTTTTGCCAGTCAAAGCCAATGAATGTCATAATACTTTTAATGGGCTTGGATCCAAAGATGTTTATGTGTGATGTTTATGTAACTAGTTTCCCATTCTTTCCTTGTCAGGTTCAACAACATCGGTGCAGTCTCAGCCAGCAAACATTGATGCTCTCCTACAAATTCCAAGAGATTTCTTCCATCCTCTCAAGCTCCACTCCAATCTAGACTGGAGAAGCAAATCCAAAGCCCCCACATCTGTGCATTCTCCTTCTGCAGAACGGTTACTTCGCAGACAGGTTAGCTACGCTGTTGCTGTCCACCTGCTCCAGGTTGTGTATTAAAGTATTAGCAGGCTGGGGAAGCCCACTTTGCTGGGCCATATAGGGAATTCCTTTGGAAGAGGTAGAACCCATGAGCAGTTATACCTTTGGAAGCTGATTTTGTGAGCATGTCAGGATGGCTCCTGTTTAGGAAGCCAGATGGGCAGTTGGCAGTGCAGCCACTGTGCATCAGCACACGTCAATTATCTGGCAGTTTTACCCTGTTGATGTAGCCAGCACAGGCTGGGCAAGCCACACAACTGGCTTCCCAGAAGGAACACTGAGGCATCCTAAGGGAAGGGGTGTGCCTTTTCTTGACATCAGGACAAAATGTACCCATTCCCATCCAATTTGGCCTCCTGATTAACCACAAAAGTTACTCGTATGATATTCCTGTTGAGCAGCTGACTGGCTGGGTCACGTAAGGGTCCTGTAGGTCAGCTGATCACCTGGATAAATTGCACAAGACCTCTAAAGATCAGCTACCCACTTGACTGAAACACATCCTCACAGTGTTTTGTTTTGTTTTAAACAGGCATTTTGGGGGGTACTTATTCACTGTTCTTAAGTGTGTGATCTGATGCTATTTGCCCCAAACATTTAATTTACTAGGACTGGTAACTTAATTTTGGAATTCTTTTCCTTGATATGATATAGACATTAATCCATTTTTTAAATAACTCCAGTGGCTAGAGTAAAAGTATTTAAGACAGAGTACAAAACAGATTCCCCCGCCCCTCAGAATAGCATATCATGTGAGTGATTATTTCATACCTAAGTTTTTTGTGCTATTACATTCCTTTTCCACAATGAGAAAATAATACAGCTAATTTTTGAGCCCTCAGTGTGGCTGTGAAGCCCAAAACTGAGCAGTTTCCATTCATCTAGAGCATCAATCTGACAGACTAAATTTGGAAAGCGTATTAGGGCCAGTCTAGTGTATGCTAACAAGGAATCTAATTGATGTTGTAGGTCTAGCCTACAGCATCTAAAGGATAACCGTTCAAGCCTTTGAAATAAATTCTGCTAGGATATTAGCTCTCATTTTTCATTGTAGCCCCATTGTAGACCCATTGTAGACCCATTGTAGACCCATTGTAGACCCATTGTAGCTGAGGGCTAAGCATTTATAGACACTGGAAAGGACAGAGGCTAGATCAGTGATGGCGAACCTTTTAGAGACTGAGTGCCCAAACTGCAACCCAAAACCCACTTATTTATCGCAAAGTGCCAACATGGCAATTTAACCTGAATACTGAGGTTTTACTTTAGAAAAAACAACTCATACATTAACTTAAGATGATCCAAACAAAGTAAGGAAAGCAATCCCAAATGCTTTCATTTACTTTAAATTATTTGGCAGAGAATTCGACACTTTAATGATGGTGTGGGCCTGGCTGGGGTGATGGCACGCATGCCCACAGAGAGGGCTCTGAGTGCCACCTCTGGCACCCGTGCCAGAGGTTCGCCACCACTGGGCTAGATCTTTAAGAGGCTTTTAGAGGCTGAATTTCGAAAGTGTAAGGATTGCAGATAGAATATCTCTCATTCCATTTGGGTAGATGCCACAAAGTTTAATAATGAAAGGATCCTTCACAGCAGAGAGTTACAGCAGCAGGTAACCTGACTTGTTTCTTTTTTGTCCTTCCAGTCCATTATACATTCTGGAGTGGATTAGCATGGAGTGATCCCAGCACAGACTAAAATATTCACTTGGATCAAGGGCAGTTGTCACAGACACCACAGGCACCTGGTTGTACTTTCTTGGGGTAGTTTTCAGGGCACTCATTCACCATGCCAACTGACTTGAATGGCTCATACAAATCCAACTCTGAATCTCAGTAGATGCAGAGAATTATGGCACAAATGGCACAGATGCTTAAGTGAAGTATATAAGGACTAGGAGTAAGTCCCGTTGTGGGAAGAAATACAACAAGCTCTAGAAAGAAGCTTCAGGTGAGTGTCCCAGCTGTGGCTGGTGGGGCGGCAGAGGGAAGGGGAAAATAGAGGGAGGTAAGCCATGTTTATTTCCTTCTGCTTAGCTATAAGGCAGGGCTGTCTCAAGTTATTTTGCTGCCCCAAGAGGGTAATATGGGAGTACAGCCTCATGGTAACAGGTATGGTTCCCTCCACCCCTGACTTATGTTGATTTGGGGCTATGCAGTGGCAGCTAAGGTAGAAAACTACCTCCTCCTATGCCATGTCTTCTGGGTTCCAAGAGTCTGGAAAGTGGTTCCATAGCCAATTACACAGTTGCCAACTCTGGGTCAGGAAATACCTGTAGATTTGAGGGGTAGAGCCTGGGGAACGCAGGGTTTGCGGTGGGGAGGGACCTCAGCAGGGTATAATGCCATAGAGGCCACTGGCAAAAGCAGCCATTGTCTCCAGGAGAACTGATCTTGGTCATTTGGACATCAGTTGTAATAGCTGGAGATCTCCAGGTGCTGCCAGGAGGTTGGCTTATGTTAATTTGGGAGTATGCAGTGGCAGCTAAGGTAGAAAAGCACCTCCTCCTATGCCATGTCTTCTGGGTTCCAACAGTCTGGGAGGTGGTTCCATAGTCAATTACACGGTTGCCAACTCTGGGTTGGGAAATACCTGTAGATTTGAGGGGTAGAGCCTGGGGAGGGCAGGGCTTGGGGTGGGAAAGGGCTTCAGCAGGGTATAATGCCATAGAGTCCACTACCCAAAGCAGCCATTGTCTCCAGGAGAACTGATCTTGGTCATCTGGACATCAGTTGTAATAGCTGGGAAATTTTCTGTAGGGGAAATGATGTGCTGTGGGTGGGGAACACGGTGATTTCTGGGAGATCTCCAGGCCCCACAGGGAGACTGGGATATGTATTTTACCTCAAGACTCCCAACGCCAACAGCAGACTGTTTAGAATGTTAGAGGCAAAGGGGTCCCGGGGGGGGGATGGCGGTTGTACTGTGCACTTGGGCTGGGGCCAGGAGCAGCCCGCTGGCGGCCCCAGCACCTTGTGGCGACAAGGGCCACATAGGGAGGAGGGCACCGCTCACCTCAGGCCTGACCGGCTTGCGAAACGGCATCTCTCATGACCGTCGTCGTCCTCCCGTCATGGCCCGGGAGTCCCGCAGTGCACAGCCAGCACACAATGGGCCAGAAGGCAGGGAGAAACAGTGGCTGGTGGAGCAGGGCCTCCGCTGCTGTAAGGCTCTGCAGCAGTAGGATCCCCCACTGAAAAAAGGCTCCAAACGACTCTTCTGAGGCAAATGGCATCCTCTCTCCTCCACAGACAAACAGCGGCGTCTCTCCTCAGGTGAAGCTATGTTGTGAGGGGAATTTTGGTGGGAGTTGCCTCTGTGGACAGGACTCAGGCGCACCTTCTGATGGGCAGTTCAGGCAGCCAACTGATTTTGCCAAGCATAGAATGTTGCCATGCAAAAATATTTTTATATATAAGGACAGGATAAGAAAACTGGCCCTGCATCAAAACATCAACAACTTCAGATATGAAGATGATACCACTCTAATGGCAAAAAGTGAAGAGGACCTAAAGAGCTCCTTGCTCAGAGTGAAAGAGGAGAGCGCAAAAGTTGGCTTGAAACTCAACATAAAAAAAAATTAAGATCATGGCATCCCTTCTATTTGCCAGGGAGTGATGGGGCCGGATGCCATGATCTTAATTTTTTTTATGTTGAGTTTCAAGCCAACTTTTGCGCTCTCCTCTTTCACTCTGAGCAAGAGGCTCTTTAGGTCCTCTTCACTTTTTGCCATTAGAGTGGTATCATCTTCATATCTGAAGTTGTTGATGTTTTTCCTGGCAATCCAGGATTCATTCAGGCCAGCATTTCGCATAATGTACTCTGCATATAAATTAAATAAGCAGGGTGACAATATACATCCTTGTGAACTTTGTTGTTGTTAAGTTGCACAATCGAGTCTGACTCTTCGCAACCCCATGGACCACACCACGCCAGGCCCTCCTGTCTTCCGCCGTTCTCCGGAGTTTGCTCAAAATTTGTGAACTTTAGGAACATATAAAACTTATGGCTGGTCTGTGGATGCATAAAAATCCATTTATTTGTTAAGGCAGCCAGTTAGCTGTTTATATTTCCTTGCCTGCTCAAGTATTAGTGAGTATGGCATGATGAGATCTTTGTACAAAAGGCAGAAGAGAAAATGACAGTGACCTGTTTTAGTGCTGTTACGAAACAGAGAGACTTCTTACACTGTAATTTGTAAGCAATATTTTTTTACTTGCTCAAATTAAGCTATAACTTGTGACTGCCAATAAGGGCAAAAGAATGATAAGTAAAAATAATGAGCACAAGAAAGGCTGTACCCAGCCTGAAACACACCCCTTTCCACAAAAATGTATCACATTGGTTGTCTTCTGTCTATTGGTTGCAGTATATTGACAAAAAGAAGACCCCCCAGTAACACCATTTAAAGAACACGTGAAGACCACAACTGGATCAGACCAGTGGTCCATCTAGTCCAGCATCCTGTCTCACACAGTAGCCATCCAGTTATTCTGGAGGACCAACAACAGGGCATAGAGGCCAAGGTCTTCCCCTGATGTTGCCTCATGGCTCTGGAATTTACTGCCTCTGAATGCAGAGGTTCCCTTTTAGTCACTATGGCTGGCAGCCACTGATAGACCTGTCCTCCATGAATCTGTTTTATCCCTTTGAAAGACGACTTTGCCCTGGGCCATCACTACATCCTTTGGCAGCAAATTTTCCTCATAGGAAAGATGCTCCAATACCATTACCCAGCACTGCTAAATTCCGTCCATTGTGAGAACTGTCCATTTATTCCTACTCTGTTTTCTGCCATTTAATCAATTTTTAATCCATAAGAGGACCCGTCCTCTTAACCCATGACCGCTAAGCTTAGTCAGGAGTCTTTGGTGAGTTACCTTGGTCAAAAGTCTTTTTGAAAGTTCAAGAATATAATGTCTACTGGGTAACTGTTATCTACATGTTTGTTCGTGTTCTAAGAAAACCGG